CTGGGGCAATCTATCTGTCTCTGTGGAGCGAGCGGTGGACGAATCAATCGACTAGTTAAGGGACTAGCAGTAGATAGTAGGTAGTAGTAACACCACCGGATCGATGCGTCTGGTCTGTCAATAGCTGTCACTCAAGGTCAACACACACACACACACACACACGCATCCATCGCATCGCACACCGTTCTGTAAGTAATTATAACAGCCGGGGAGAGAGCGAGAAACAAACGGACACACACATAGGAGATCCCCTCAAGCAGCAGGTAAGAATGTAGGCAGGCGGGTAGGTAGACACGAGAGGCATCTGTCTGTCTGTCTGTCTGTCTGTCAGCCGACACACACGGACGGATGAAGAAATGCACCCACACCAACACATCCACCACCAACACACACACACACACACACGCGCGCGCGCTCATACTGGAAGCAGCTGTGCTGTGCTGTGTTGTGCTGCGCGTACGCGCACGTACACACTCACTGCACCATGAATGGAATGAATGGTACCGTAGCGCCGTGGGGCGGGTGGGTGGGCGGGCGAGAAACAAGTTACACAACCAACCACATACACATCGAGTCGAGCGAACCTCCCCGTCTCGGCTTCACACACACAGGTATGCATGCATCGCCGTTAGATAGACAAGTAAGTACCATCACTCCCATATCGAGGACGAGAAATGTACGCAGGCAGGCACTTATATAGCCAGCCCTGTCTGCCTGCCTCATCGTATGCATCCCATGCCATGCCTTCTCAAGATACATACTGCGAACCAAACCAACGGTTGGCAAGTTAGGTTGGGTCGGTGTGTGTGCGATGCGATACGGTGCGACGGAAAAGCGGACATCACGTCACAGGGTGGGTCGGTGGGGTGGGTGTCTGCACCGTCCTTCAATCAGCAAGCAGGGCAAGTTAGTATCGTGTGTGTGTTGACCAAACAGAGGTGAGGAAGAGAGGGAGGGACGATCGGTTCTCTCCCTCTCGGTATACGCAACACCAGCACGCCCCCCCCACCAACACATGCAGCGCAAAAAAACTGCCACCGACCTCGCCCCCCACTGGCAATCCCTCCCTCCCCGCCAGCCCACAGCGCTATACCCATCCCACCCACCCAGGCATAGCCAACAGCAGCACTACCACCACCACCACCAGCAGCAGCACCAGCAGCAAAAACCGCTCACAACTACGGCCGTCTCCCCTGCCTCCCGGGCTCCCTCTCTCTCTGCGCCTCTCTGCCTGCCAATTCAATGTGCCCATGTGTGTGTGTGTGTGTGTGTATGTGTGTGTGCAAAATCCACCAGCAGCAAGCATCATCCATCGACCGACCGGCCAAGCAAGCAACCAACCTGGCTCACCCACTCATTCACGCATCCGCAGTGGGAAAAATACGTGACGGTCTTCCTTCCGAGCCGAGCAGGTGTGACAAAAAGAGGGCCCCACACACAGACAGAAAGAGAGACAGACAGACAGAAAGAGATAGGTAGAAGAGGGAGATAGATACATACACACATACACACATACACGGAATGCAATGCGCACACAAAGAGATCTTCGCTGGCTGGTTGGCTGCTTGAAATCCAAGGCAAGGCGAATTCAACCGTCTGTCTGATCTGATCTGCCTCCCAGTGGCCAAGCACCCCATTGGCTGCTCTGCTCGGCTCGGCTCGGCTCGGCTCGGCTGGGCGGCCTGGACGCGCGCCTCGCTCACTCGCTGACATGTATGGACTGCCCTTAAAGCCTTCTGTCGTTCAAAAGCAATACACTTGCAGGCACGCACACACCCACACCCAAACCCCCCTCCAATGCATGCCAAGCCAGCAAATATGCTCTCAAACACACGCACGACACGCACTCGACACAAGAAGCCGACCAGCCAACCAAGGGATATTTACAACAAACACACCAAACACACAGGCCGTGACTCCCTCGGTCGTTATGAGCAAGTACCCACACCCCGCCCCGCCCAGCCTCCCCCCAACCCAGCCAGCCAGCCGAACCCGACCAAAAACGACCCACCCAGAGTATCCCGAAACAAAACCACCGACTGCCCCAGTGTCCCCGGTTCCCTCCCTCACGGTGAAGTCTCGCTCTTGCCGCTCGCAGACTGACCGCTCGCCGTCGTGGCCTCGCCCCAACCCTTGTCTGGCGCGGCAACAGGCACCGCACCGTTAGTCGCCACACCACCAGCCACAGCCACACCACCGGCCGCAGCCGCACTACTCGCCCCCCGTGCACTGGACGGAGGTCTCGGCTTAGGCGGCCGTGAAGACGTGCCAGCCGCCGGGGGCGCCGATATGGTCAGCACGGGGGCGTTGTGGGCAGGGGCGAGGGAGATGGGCGGGCTGAGCGGCACCGCGCCGTTGACGATGACCGGCAGGGGGGTCTCATGCTCGCTTTCCCGGTCCCACACGCTGGCCCCGTTGGTTGTGGTCTTGGGCACGGCCGAGCTCGGCCGGGAGCCGCCCCCCGACCCTCCTCTCTCATACGAGTCGTAAATTGGCACGGCAGACGCAGGCTGAGACGGGGTGGGGGTGGGGGTGCGCCGTGTGCGTGACCGTCCGAAGGGAAACCCGCAGCCCCGGTGAGGAGCGGGGTCCTCGTCGGGATCTGGCGGCAGAGTGGGGCTCGATGGCTCGCTCATCTGGCAGATCTGCCTGCCGTCGCCCCCGGGGGGGCTCACGCGGGGGTTGTCGGCCGACAGCCGATGGGGGTCCGCAATGGTGACGTGCAGGTCGGGTGTGCGGGGGTTTTTGCGACCACCCTCGCCTGAGGCTGATGGTGAGAAGGAGCGGAATGAGCGTGAAGGGCTGCTGGCGTTGGAGGCAGCCCCGAGGCTGCCCCCCTGCTTGACCAGACGGCGGAGCTTCTTGACCAGCCGCTGACACAGGCGGTTCTCTTCATTGAAGAAACCACCCTGCACACCAGCCAGTGACCAACACACCGACACATCCATCCAGCCATTCTCCCAGGCACCCCATTCTCTCCGTTGTTTCTCTCTCACCACGTGAGCGTTGATGGAGCCCTCCTCCGCCCCCCCTCTGGGCCTGAAGAGCTGCAGGGATATGGGTCCCTTGCGGCCCTCCATCTTCTGCTGCAGCAGCTTGAAGGGCGTGTTGCCCGAGTCGTCAGGCTTGGCGGGGTCGGCGCCGCGCTCGACGAGCAGGTCTGCGATGGCGTACTGGCCGAAGTAGACAGAGTACATCAGGGCCGTCCGGCCGTGGCTGTCAGCCTGGTCGTAGTCCAGGTGTTGACCTGTGGTGGGTGGGAAGAGAGGCAAGAAACGCTTTGTTGGGTGTGTTTGTGTGTGTCTTGGGAGGGGCGTGTGGTGTGGTGTGGTGTGCACCCACCTTTGGCCATGATGAGGTTGGCCATGGTGTGGTTGCGGCAGCGGATCGAGGAGATCAGCGGGGTCTCCTGACCGACCAACAGACCAATCAGACCAATCACATGCATCGTATCGCACCGCATCGTTTGTGGATCCGTCCTTCACACACACACGTACCCCGTTCTTGGTCTCGGCCGCATTGACATCGGCCCCAGACGTCAACAACACCTCAGCAACAGATGCCTGACACACACACACACACACACGCACACACACACATATCAACGACACACCTTCCTTAATGTAAGGTGATATGATGATGAGCGTCCAGCCCACAGACACAGACAGACACACATACCCACCCTGTTCTCGAGGCATGCGATGTGCAGTGCGGTCCTGCCCTTGCCGTCACGGAGGTCCACGTCCGCACCCTTACGCAGCAGCAGCTTGACACACTCAACGAAACCTACACACACACACATGCAGGTGGAGTGGGCAAGGTGAGTGAGGCAGACAGACAGGCGGGGCGGCATGTGCAGTGCCTAGTGCCTAGTGCTCAGTCCTCACTCACCCCCGTTGGAGGCCAGGTGAACGGCGGCCAGGCCGTCGTGGCCACGGGCGTTCACATCCACACCTGACACACCGACCGACCGACCGACCAATCCATCTCTCTCCCTCTCTCCCTCTCGTGTGTGTGTCTGCCCGTTGTTAAGTACCTCGTTCGATGAGGAATGCGAGCACCTTGGCCCTGCCCAGCCTGGCGGCCTGGATGTGCGGCAGCGACCACAGAGGGTGCTCACGGTGGAGCAGGTCCGGGTGACGACTCACCTGGCCATCCACAACACAACACAACACAACACAACACGAAACAGCACAAGGCGACACGACACACACGCATCGGTAAGAGAATGATGGCGTACGTGTCTGTGTGTGTCAGGGACGGGACGGGGCGTGGCGTACCAGTGTGTTGATGCCTTTGAGGTTGCCCCTGAGTATGGCGCAGGTGAGCACGTCGGTCAGCACCCACCGCTTGCTGGCGCGAGAACCCGCACCGAAGTCGAGAAACGTTTCCAACCAACCTGCACGCACACACGCTGCCTTAACTCCCCTCCCTCTCTCTGTCTGTGTCTCTGTGGCTCACTTGGGTTCTGCTGGTACGCGAGAAGTGTGGGCGTGTAGTGTGAGGGGTCCGACCAGTTGGGGTTGCCCCCCGCCTGCAGGAGCTTGATAATGATCTCGTCAATGTTGCAGCCAGACCCGTGACCACCGCCAGCAGCAGCACCCGAAGCAGCTGGGCCCATGGTCTCCCTGTAACCGCTCCACCGCCGCGTGTGCGAGCACCGAGCCGTCACAGGACTGGCCACAGAGCTCTGGGCACCATCCTGCTGGACGTCAGCAGGTGGTGGCGGTGGTGAGGGTGGGGGGTCACTGGTGGTGGTCTCGACGTCAGCGGGCGAGAGGGGGGATGGCGGTGAGGGAGGGGAGGAGTGTGGGGCCTGGGTGCCGGCTGCAGCGGCCAGGGGGTTGGGGCGGTGGTGGCTGCGGTGGACCAGCAGGCGGCTGCGGCCCTCGCACGCTATGAACAGGGGAGACTTGTACCTGATTCATGTGTGTATCAGTGTCAGGGAGAGAGAGTGACACACGGACATTTCGCAGGGGTCTGTGAGGGTGCTTGTGTACGTTTTGATGGCCGGGGCTGCGGCGTCGAGGACCGCGCCGCGCTTGATCAACAGGTCAATCATGTCGCAGTTCTCATTCTGAACACCACAACAGCCACACACACACACACACAGAGAGAGAGAGAGAGAGAGAAATCGTGATCAACCGTGATCTTGCCCATGCACTCACTCACCCGAATGGCGTGTTCCATGGGCGAGATGCAACTCAGCGAATAGGGGTTGGGGCTGCCACCTGACACACACACATACACACATACACACATACACACATACACACAGACACACACACACGAAGAGGCATCCAACGATGTCTTCTGAAACACGAACTCTCCCTCCCTCCCTCCCTCCCACCGCCCCATCCATCCACCGTCGTACGTACCTCCCATGAGCAGCGTGGTGCAGATGTCGAGTTGGTTGGTCTCACAGGCGACGCTCATGGGCGAGCGGCCGAGGAAGTCCCAGATGTCGAGCTTGGCGCCTGCCGAGAGGAGGAGCTTGACCATGGGGCCGTCTCGGTTCTCGATGGCGACGGTGAGGGGGTAGGCCCAGCTGTCGCACTCGCCGTAGTGGCAGCTGCAGGGGCTGTTGACCAACACGTTGCCACCCTGACACACGGAGGGATCATGAGATGGGGGACACATGGCTAGATGGATGGCTAGATGGATTTTGTGTCGACGCACCTACCTTGTGTTTCATCAGGTGCAGGAGGTAATACTTCTTGAACTCGGTGTCCTCGGCAACCTCCTCCCACTTAACACAACAACACAGCGACACAACGCAGCGGCATGTGTATGTCTCTCTGTCTGTGTCACAGTCACACACGAACGACGCACCTTCTGCTCAAACGCTTGTATGGCCCTCTCCGCCTCCCGGAGGTCCTTCCTGTGCACGGCCGCCTCGAAGGCCGCCCTGTGTGGCTCCAGCCTCACCTTGTCGATGAGGCTCTTCATCGCCCACGTGCCGCACATGCCGATACGCGGGTGCACCTTCAACGCTCGACTCCGCTCTATGATGAAATGCGCTACCTGCACACACACACAGGGAGGGAGGGATGTCTTAAGAGGCGCCCTCTGCTGTCTGTGCTCCCCCACCCTCCCCCCCACCCGGCTTGCTTACCCTTTCCACCGCCCCGAGAGACAGTCGCGTGAATGCTCCCGAGAACTGGTGGAATGCCGGCCACCTGTCCTTGGTGAGCTGCTCCAGGATGGGGGCGCCCGTGAGGTCCTTGGAGCGGCAGCACTTCATCGAGAGGTGCTCGAGTCGGGGCATGTGTGTGGTCAGCATGGTCTCCAGCCCCTTGTCGGTCAAAAAATGGCAGAAGTCGAACGCCAGCATGCGGACGTTGGTGGCGACGGTGCGCTGGGGGGTCTTGAGGGGCAGCGTCAAAATGAGCGCGATGGACGGATCCTTGAGCTGGTTGAGCTTCGACAGGTTCAGCAGAGACTGGGCGGTCTCGTCAGTGACCGACAGCACCAGCGGCAGCACCTCGGTCGTCACAAAAGCGGGGTCATAGCCCTGGAAACCTGCACACCAATCAGTCAGTCACAATGAATGAAATGACGGCATCCTCTCCCTCTCTCCCTCTCTCCCACTGTCCCTCTCTCCCGTCAGTACCCACCGGAGAAGTTGAGCTGCCTGACGGTCCATGTCTTGTGGTAGAGCCGTCTGCAGCACATGCGCACCGTCAGCAGCGACCGCACGTCATAGAACTGGGCGCACAGCCGCAGCAGCACCAGCGTCCACGTCATCGTCTCCTCCCGCCCAGACGAAGCCTGCGACCCCTCCCCCTCCTCCGAATCGTTGAAAGTGCCCCTGTCGCGCTTGTTGGCCTCCGAGTCGCTGTCCGTCAGGGCGTTGCTCTGGTTGGCATGTATCTGGCTCACACTCGGCACCGGGTGGAGCCGATTGGTGAAGTGGGTCGATATCGACGTTTCCGACATGATGCTGTCGTGCTGCGGTATCTGTTGGGTACGTCTTGGGTAGACGGGATTGCGGGGTGGTGGGATGCCCTCTGTTGGCTCAGAGGTCGGGAGGGTCGTCCTCAGTCATTTCTCTCTGGGTCAGGAATCCGCCAACAACCGGTACGTACGGGCCGTGCTCCCCGGTCCGCCGGGGCAGTGTCGCGACAAAACCGCACAAAGACGTTATCACTGCCGTGATGCCTTCACACTCCAGGTGTGTGTGGCTACTCACTCACCTAGGCCGTCGCAAGTTCTTCAGCTCGCAAAAAAGCTCGCCATACTCTGTGGAGAAAAGGCCCTATCACAACACCCACCACGGGGGCAGCACCAGCCATGTGGGTGCCGTTTCGACGAAAAGATCTTCAGTGATCTCATTTCATTTCTGCCGGACATCTGTGTGAGGCGCACCAATCTCTCCATGACCACCACGGCAGCGCCGAGGTAGAGGACGAGGCAGACGAGGGAGAAGGGGAGGGAGGGAGGCACAGGGCGGGCTGAAGGACGAGCGAGCCGAGATCTGTGCTGTGTGCATGTGTGTCGGTCGGTGCCTCCTTGTCTGCAGGAACGTCAAGGCCAAGAAGCGGAGGAAGGAGAGGGAAACGCCATGGTACAAGGTGGGTACGTCTGTGAGCCTCATGCATCAGCGACACACCCGAGACACACACTGGCGGGACACATGCGCATGCATTGCATGCAGGTGTTGGCGGGTGCGGTCATCTTGGTGGCTCTCGCTGTCGGCGTCTACTTCATGCCCAGCGACAAGGTCAGGGAGGGAGGGAGGGAGAAGGAGAGAGGGAGGGAGAGAGAGAGAGGGAGGCGGACACACCGGCGCCAGGACCGAGACAGCATTCTCTTCCATGTGTGTGTGGTGTGGTGTGGTGTGGGCATGCAGCACTTGGCTGTGCGTGAGCTGATCCGGACGTATGGGGGCTACATGTACACCACAGACACAACGCTCGACGGCAAACCGGTCAGTCAGTCACCCCACCCCACCCCACACATTCCGCCCGCTGACTCACTGTGTTGTGTGTGTGCGTTCATCAGAGTGTGGCGGCGTCGCGGTTCGTGCCGGCCAACACTGCGATAGCGTTTGTGCCGGTGGAGCTGGCGCTCAACTACAACCACACCGACGCCGCCGCACTGAGGCTGGAGCTGCACCAGGCTGTGCAGTTCAAACAAATCGGTGAGGCAGTGGGGGACAGTGGATGTCCTGGCGTGTGCTGTGTTGACGGGATGGGGGTCGTGTTGTGTTGTGTGTGTGTCCGTTCAGATCTGTGGAATGCAGCTGTGCTGTCGCTCATTGCTGAGAGGCGCAACACATCATCCTTCTGTAAGCGGCCGCAAGCGATGCCCAACAGTCTCCTCTCCTCTGTGTGTGTGTGGAGGAGATACGGACACCAACCGCACGAATGGCGCTGTGCCTGTGTCTGCGGTGGGCTGGTGGTTGGTCAGACAAGGCGTGGCTGAACTCGCTGCCGAAGGAGTTCCCCTTCTCCTACTTGTTCACGAAGGAACAGAAGAAGGTGCTCAAAGGTACGTAACGTTTGCAAGACAGCCTAGCCTGCAGGTGACAGACAGCACACTCCTCGCGCCTGCGTCACGTCACCCCCACAATGCAGTGCGTTGATTGCAATCACTGCAGGCACCCCTGCAGAGCCCTTCTTCAGCATGCATGACCGATACATTGACCAAATCACCACGGTACGGTAGGCAGGCAGGCAGGCACCAACACCGGCAGACGCGACACGCCACGCCGCCCTGGTCGTGACACGCCACGCCTGTCTCTGTCTCGATATTATTTATGGTTGCAGGCGGGTCGCACGCTGGACTTCTTCGTCAATTACCCCGACCCAGAATACGACTCAGGTCCCCCCCCCCCGTTCACTCAGACAGACAGGGCGGATGAGACCAGAGAGGCGGCCAGGCAGGTGGACATTCTTGCTTGATGTGTGCAGGGATATCGCTGGACGAGGCGGCGTGGGCCGTCGGTGCGGGCATACACATGATGTGGGGTACGTGACGTGTCTGCAGAGAGAGACACACTAGACCGCCAGCCATATGGAATGCAATGCAATGCTCGGTTGATTGGTTGGTATGTGTGTGGCGTGTCTGTGTCTGTGCAGGTGACTCGTTTGTGCCTGGTCCGCTGGATCAGATGCGCTTCCACTGGGACCCCGACAAGTGCGTCGAGCCCATGATGAAACCACAGGCCTTCGGGGGCACACTCGGTAGGTAGACACACACACACACACAACCAACGTGGCCTGGCCACACACATGTGGTTGCCTTGTCCATCCGTCCATCCATCCATCCATATGTGCAGGCTACGTGCTGGTCTCCCCGCGTGACATCAACAAGGGCGAGCACGTAAGTGAGCAGCACGGCAACCATTTCATTTGTGTGTGCCTTCCTTGCCACACACACCTCTCTGTGTGTGGGTGCGGTGCAGTTGTTTCAGTTCAAGGGTCGTCTGTCGAGCGGCGAGTCTCTGGCGCTGCTGGGGTATGTCCTGCGGGACAACCCCCTCGTCATGACGAGCAGACTGGACCTGCCGCAGGACACCGTCACTGACAAGAAGACATGGGCCCAGATACTCACACAGGTAACAAGTCAGACAACCGATGAATGGCATGGAAGCGATGGATGTGTGGGTGGGTTGTGGGTGGTGTGTGTGGTGGTTTGCAGGTGTCCGAGTGCAAGCCCGATGACCTTCTGAAGATCCCCTTCCACGACGCCGAGCAGCTGGTGCCCGAGAAGAACCTCAAGTGCATCACACTGCTCATGCTCAACCACACACAACTCAGCGTAAGGTCACCCCAACCAGCCCCCAACCGACCCCCTCATCCATCCATCCATCCACATGTATGTGTACAGGCGGATCACCAGGCGCGCGACGCCATCACGTTCTTCGACGTGTGGCCACGTGTGGCCGACCTGGCGCATCCCGACTGGCTGACCACTGAGCGCGAGCTGTACGAGAGCATGCAGGAGAAGTGCAGGTACGGCCTCGCGGCCGTCCTGGACGTCAACCCAGGTGGGCTCATGGAGGGGAGGGGGAGGGAGAGCGAGGGAGGGAGGTCATGGTGTGGTGTGGTGTGTCTGTCGGTGTGTGGTGTGTGTGCAGATGTGGTGCAGACGCTTGAGAAGCAGACCGACTCGATATCGCAAGACGCCGTGTTTGTCAGGTGGGTGAGAGGGTGGGTGGACTGACGTGACAGACGTGGGTACGTCTTCCTTCTGGTGCTCGTTGTGTTGTGCATTGCGTGCAGGCGCCAGCTGCTGTCAGTATTGGAGAGGTGTCAGGGCTTCTTCCAGACACGCATCGACATGCTGCCCAAGTGAGTGGAGGGAGGGACCCCACAACACAGCCACACTTACCCACACACACCGCCACACACACCGCCCCGCTCTCTCTGATGCAGGCCCCGTGCAGTCCCTCCCAGCCCCTCTCCCGTTGCCGAGGCGCCTTCTGTTGTGGAGGAGTCTCGTGAGGGCCCCGCTGCTGTCTCATGACCATGGCTGGCTGTCTGTGCGGGCTGTGCGTGTGGGTTGCTGTGGCGTCTGTCTGTCTTGCTTTCGTGGCCTTTTTTCGTCTTTTTGGAGGGAGGGAGGGAGGGAGGGCTTTCCAAGGGTGGGAGGGGAGGGGCAGGGGGGGAGGGGAGGGAGGGGACTGTATAGCGTTTTCTGTGCGTGTCATGTGTTGTATTGTGTTGTTCACTGGTCGCTATGATTCCGATTGGAAGCGAAGGCAGCGACGTTTAGTCTGGCTTTCTTACTCATTCGCTCACTGTCTACTGCATGCTGTACGTGCGCATGGATGGATGGATGGATGGCGATTTTTCTTTCCTTGTCGTGTGGTGTGGGGTAAGCATCTCTCTCTCTCTCTCTCTCTTGTGTTGTCATGAGGTCTGTACGGTCGAGGTCGATGGTTTGTCAGTCAGTCAGTCAGTCAGTCGTGTGGTGAGGCGTTCAAATCTCACCCTGTGGCAGCCCCATAAGAGTCCACCCGCAGCCCGAAGCAAGCACTGGACTGCTTCTACACACACACACACACACACTCACACACCCACCTGGATGCTCACACATGCACACGTCCCCCCCTCTCTATGTGCCACCAGCACCGCACACAAGACGCCTTTCTGTCTCTTTTTCCACAATGAAACGTGCGCTGTTTTCTCAGTCGCTGCCCCGTATACGTCACACACACACATCGTGCGCTGACCGGCTGAAGAGGTCGGTCAGCCATGTGTCGGGATCTGACACACACACGCAGCATGTGTGCGCTTGATGCACACATGGCTTTTTCCAGACACCCCGCGCGCATCGGTGCGTGCGGACACACACATGGCGGCTCTCCGCTCAGCGGAGAGGGCAGCCAGTGCAAAGGACGGCGTGGCGCGGCGCGGCGCGGCAGCCGCTGCCGCTGCCTGTCGTTGGGAGGTGGCTCTCTTTCTGGCGCGATTGTTGTGTGCGCGGTATCTTGTCGTGTCGAGTGTCGCGTGGCGCCCTCTGGATGGCAGGCAGGCTCACAGACAGGCAGGCACAGAGGCTGCACAGAGAGACCTGGGCGAGGGGTACTCTGCTGGTGCGAGCGAGGAGGTGCCGTGTCGTGTCGGGTGCGTCGGGCTTGACGTGCAGTGCAGTTCGTGCATGCCTGCATCGGAGAGAGAGGCGGCCAGAGGACGACGGACAGACGGACAGACCAGCAGCACAGGACAGCCAGAGGAATGGGAGGGCCATCTCGGCGGAGCCAGCCCCTGTGGAGAAAGGGAGCTGTGCCCACAGACCCACAGACCGGCCGACTGACTGACACGGGGCACGTGCTGAGTCAGGCCGGGTGGTGTCACTGAATGGCGCGGCGGGAGTCGGGGGTGGCTCCCGTCGCAGGCCAGGAAAGGTGTCTGGGTCAGACAGACAGACAGACAACAGACAGACAGACAGACGGGCAAGTCCCCCTCAGACACGTCGCCCCCAGTGGATGGGGGGGAGCCCGTCGTATCCCGCGCCGAGGAATCTGTCCTCGGCGCGCCGCGGTCGTGGCTGTGTCGGCTGTCGACATGTGCCACGCCAGCAGTCCGCGCCAGCGTGTGCTGGTGCGGATCGGACACCGTCTCTCCCGAGGGTGGAGGGGCGGTGCTGGCCGTGGGGAGTCTTGTCCGGCTCCCCACGTGAGCATGGGGGCGCTGCTGAGCTGCGGGCGATATGTACCACTGTGGGACGGGACTCAGAGAGTGACGGGCGAGCGAGGTGGGCCTTTTGATGCAGCAGAGGCGTCATGGGATGGGGAGGGAGGGAGAAAAGACATGGCAGAGCCTCTGAGACAGTGCGCGGGTGGATCGGTGGATCGGTGGTCGCTCTGAGACACACCTGCGATTGCCGCACGGACGACACACAGGGAGGGTGCGTGAGGAGTGCCGGTCGGCTGCTTGTGGAGGGAGCCTTGCCTTGCTGTGGGGTCGCCGGCCGACCGACACGCACAAGTGAGGTCTCCGTCTCTCTCCGTCTTGTGGCTGGATGGCTGCACTGACTGACTGCACCGCTCCAAGTGTCTACCTGCACCTCTGTGGGTGAGAGATAGAGCGAGCCAGACCCCGCCGAGCTCAGCTCAGCTGCACATGTGTCTTCGTTGCCATGTCCTGCCTACCCTCCCCCATTGTGGCGGCTGTATGGGGTCCCCACTGTGACGTGTCACTCGTGTTGGGTCGTTTCCTGTGGTGATTCGGATCGGCAGATAAGCAGCGTCCCCATGCGGGCTTTGAGAGAGCGCCTGCACGCGGAGTGCAGCCGCTCGCTCGGCCCGGAACACACTCGCGTGGGCCGTAGGAACGCCTGCGCGACTCGTCAGGGCAGACCGACTGAACGACTACTAAACTAAACATACCTCTCTCGTGAGTGGAACTGACTGACTGGTCCGAATGGAATGACAGACAGAGAGAGGCGCAGCTCAGCCCACCCTTTTTGCCGGTGTGGTGGCGTCTCGCGTGTGCGGTGGCTTCGTAGTGGTTCAGGGGCATGGTACTCCTCTGCTTTGCGCATGTGTTTCTTCCACCGTGCTTGCCTCCTGGGTTACGTTTCAGATGAGGCGCCGCTGCATGTGACGCGCACACCCACTTGGTGGCACTTATTCTTTCTCGTGCTGAGTTGCGACGGAAGAGAGACAGACAGGCAGGCGTACCACAGACAGGTGGCTGGAGGCGGGTGGCATGTGTGTGTGTGTGCATCTGAGTGTGTGTTGTGTTGTGTGAGAGAGAGGTGGGGTGTTTAAACGTGTCACGGCTATGCACACTACGCTATGCTGTGTCGCGAGGTGAAGCGGCAGCCTCATAATGGTCCATTCCGCCCGCTTTGGAGCACTGGACCGCCCCGACTGACTGACTGACTGACCAACTGACCGACCGATCCATCGACCGACCGATTGTATGACTGACAGACCGGAGAGAGAGAGAGAGAGAGAGAGACCCGCTTGTGTGCATGGACGGTATTTGTTAGCCCGAGGATCCATGCGCTGTGCCTGTGTGTTGACTCGATGCGATGCCTGTATAGCCTTTGTGAGTGAATTGTACACCTTACTTACACGAACATGCCCCTCGCTCTCGCCAAGCCCATTCACCTGTTAACAAATCCTCAGAGGCGTCTCGTCTCGTCTCACAATGCACATCAGCTTATAAACCACGAAAAGACAAGCACTCAATACTTGCGCACCGCACGCACGAGCATGTCAGCCCAGCTAACATCAAAGAGAAGCCGGCGCCCCAGCGCCTACCCCTTTCTGTCTAACGCTACACCATCACTCTCCATCAATGACATCTTGCTCCAAGCCGAATTGTCTCAGCAGCCGGCGCCACGAAGGCGTCGACGGGGAAACGCACATTCACCGATGAGGCACACACGACCACCAGCAGCAGGCACCTCGGCTGTGACCAAGTAGATGCTCCCAGCCATCACCGCCACAAATGCGGCGACGGTGTCGTCAGGTCGGCAGCCGCTGACGAAGATGTGACGATATGGGGCCGGATTAGCGTCATTCAGGTTCCCTTTATCGAAGAGAAAGTCCAGTACGATTCCCTCACCCTCAGGCAGCTGATAAGGCACCACGTCGAAAGACCAACAGCCGCCAATCCGATAGAGTCCGGCGGCCGCCGGACCGGGGGCCACGAACTCCCCCAGTCGCCGTGCCCACTTCACCAGCGCATATAGGATGCCGTTGTCGGCTTGATCGAACACCAGGCTCCCTCCAAAGCATCTCAGCTGATGCTCGATGGTCTTATAGATGGCCACTGTTAGCGACAGCTTGTGGAAGGCCGTCTTGCTGGGCAGATAAGCCACCGACAGCACCAGAGGCAGCCCAGTGGTGGTCAGCCGATAGGTCGCGGCCAGGCGGACAATCGTGCCCATCACCCGCCACTCGCTTCTGCCCTCCTCCAGCACGTAAACAGCACCGCACCAGGTAGCTAAGGGGGTTGACAGCGACTCTCGGCCTGTCATCCACTGTGTGGCGCGTGCCGTGAGTCACCTGGCGCAGGCAACACTGGCACCGACAAGGACTTCAGGCCGACAGACATCATCATCAGCAACAGAAGGTGCCGGTGAGTGTGTGGCAGCCGAGGGAGGCGTCGATGCGTTCTGTAAGGACAGCAGCGGTCACCACAGAGCTGCCCACGGCGCGACAGCTGGTCGGTCCGCAGAGCCACCAAGTCGGTCAGTGCCAGCCGAGGCAATACACCTCCACGCCACACCTCGGACAGCCAGTGAGTGCGCCATCGACACCGACAATACGTCAGATCTGAGCCAAACAAGCGACAAACACCATAGAAAGCATCCGAGGTTTCTTCCCTTCTCATCTGTGCCGCCGTCTTACCCTTGCCGGCGTCGGTAATCTCCTCACTACCTCCAACCTTTGATCTCGCCTCTTTCTGCGCCATTTTTCGGCGTTTCTCCACAGAGGTGAGTGTGTGGGCGTCTGAAGGAGCATCTCAGCTGACGAAATCGGAAAACGAATTTGCCAGATTCGCAGCCGGCGCCGATTCGATCCTCAGTCGATCGGGAGGGAAGGAGGCACAAAGGGAAGGAAAGAGGCCTTTCTGGGGCGTGTAGCAACGACCAAGAGGGTGCTAGCATGACCACCGACTCGCTCCTGCGATTCCGTCGGTGACAATCACACGTTCTGCGTCGACGGGCGTGTCGAAGGGCAGCGTTTGGGTGAGGCGGATGAGCAGTGAAGCAGTGGATACATTCGTCGGCATACTTTGTTCGTCTGTTTCTGCAGGTACACGAGCACGCGCCGCCATGGGTGACCAGTCGGCAGCTGACGTAGCAGCTTTGATCAGAGAGCATGGACCCACGGAGGAGCGCATCACCGCCTTCCTTCGCGCGCCAGGCACATCGGCAGACAAGATCCGCCTGCTGGCGCAGCTGATAGATCAAGACGCCTCACTCCTGACGACGCCCCAGCTGCTGCAGTGTTTCTGCCAGCGGCCGCAGCTGGACATCATCGTCTTCCTGCTGCAGCGCGGCGCTCACGTGACCCTGAATACTCACTTTGGCGAAGGGTCCCCCTTGGCCAGGGCGGTCAACAATGGCGCCACGTCCGATACGCTGCGCGCGATGCTCACCTGGGGCGCCATGCCGCCCCATTCTCCGCCCCATTCTCCGGGGGTGCGGGCGAACGCTGAGCTGCGGTAAGCCCCGACTAGATAAAGGAAAGAAACCCGATAGGAGAGTCTGCCAGCCATCGGCCCCTTTGTGTTTGGTTGCTTGCTTCAGGTACGCGTACGCCATGTATATTCGAGTAGATCTTGAGCAGGTCATGACGTCGGTCATCCACAGCGCCTTCGAGTCCGTGGCCGCCGCCGCCCGGCTGCTGGAGGGCCTCGCCAGCCCCACACACCCCTCCCCCGGCGCCCCCCAGCCCCTCCAGTCCCCATCAGCGACACCCTCTACGCCCACATGATCGCATCATTCCTCACGGACCTGACGGCCATCGAAATCCATCTCCCCTTCCGCCCCACCAGCACTACCTTGACGCTCCACATCCACCAGGCGCTCGTCCATGCGGTGCGCTCGGCAGCGTCCACGTGCCATGGGAGTGCCGCACTCGCCGCAGCTGAGCAGCAGCTGCCAGAGATGCGCTGTTTTGCGCTGAAGGGGCTGCATGGCCGCAGACTGTGTCTGCGTGAGGTGGTGCGTCAGGCGTGTGTCGAGGAGCTGGACAAGTGGCAGCTGTCGACAGAAGGGGTGCCGCTGCTGTGTAAGCCCTTCGACTGGCAGCAGCTGGGAGGGGTGGAGGGACTGGCGACAGGGGGAGAGCGGTATGTGCGTCTGCTGGAAGCTGGGATGTATCTGGGCAAGTATCGCAAGTTTGTAGGCCGTAGGAGGCCGCAGAGAGCGATTGCTAACATCTTGCCCTCTGCCGGGCAGGGACGCTGAGTAGTTAGGTTTCACCCTCGGCGACCCGTGTGTGGGGATTGTCTAGAGGTACTTCCAACACCGTATCGTATTGATGTGATATAGCTATCGACAAACCGACCTTTTGTTCGCGCGGTTGGCTGACATGGATTCAATGGTGGCTGACGCGAGTTATCCGTCAATGTGTGTATCACTCGCGTCGATGGGCCTCGCCGCGAACGCGGCTCGATGAACGGTTACGAGGGGGGAGGGGCCCCCGAGTAATGGGAGGCGATCGGGAAGGGACACCAGGCAAAATGTCGCACCAAAGTCGATTATCCACACTAAACCAGTGATCGCGATTGGCCACGGGCTGAAATCTAGGGTAGCTCGTGAAAGGGAAGATGCAAGATCCACAACGATTTGACTGTATTTTGCAAGGATACGGGAAGAGCGGATGAAGAGGACTCAGTCATTAGCGGTAGGACTTGTCCAGAAGCCGAGAATCGACTGTTTTTGATGGGTGATTGCAGTGAAGGCACATCGTGTGAAGTCAGATGTTCGTGTGGACCATGCAATGTCGCCCCCTCCCCCTTGAACGGGGGAGGGGGCTTCAAAAGACAAGCTTCAATGGGTCAATGTTGATAGGTAGGAGACAATATGGCAGTCGCACGCTGGTGCAAATTGCAGTTGGAAACCCGTCTGAAGACTCGTTGTGCTGGGGGGAGGGGAAGACAGACGAAGTGGGGCCTTTTACGCGCGAGTACATGCCAGAAAGCATGAATTCACCTCATGCTTACTCCTCGATCCTCGTCATTGGCCGGCATCTATGGAC